CCTGATTATGGAGCGAATAAGCTGTGCCGAACTTGCCTTTGCCTTTTATTGTGCCAACAGTCGCGCAGAGGACCTGCAGACTACGACTGGGAGCCCCAAAAGCGCGAGAGTTCAATCAAACGCCCGCATGCCGTTACCGTTGGACCGTTGTTGGTGTCCCTTTAAGCTATCGATGCCGCGTTTCGGAGCTAGCCTTAGTCGAGGCAAGTTTCACGAAGCTTCGAGTTAACCCGTCATGGTGATGTGGGTGTGGGTGTGGGTGTGTGTGTGCTTTCGCTGGAACGTGACCGGGGCTCGATCCCTCCCATATCTTCAAGTTCCAACGGCGGCCCTGCAGCCCTTCCAACTCTGGGGGGCTTGACTATCCCGTAGTTAGTGTGTGTTCGGGATATGTGGTGGCCCGGGAGATCTGTGTGATTCAATAGACTATTATGCCACGGACCGTGAGGTTGCGTTGAACACACGGCCTTCTAGAAGCTTTTCGGGGTGGCCTCCTGGCAATAATACGCTGCACTATTGCTAACGCTCAGTGATGAACCGGACTTTAGTGATCTTCTCATCAGCTTGCGTCACTGCGCGTAGAACAGTAATCGGAATATCCTCCGGCTAGACGGCAGCAGTTGACTGTCGCCGCGGCGCACTGAGTTGCGCGCACAATGGCATTGTCATAACGAGGATAACTCTGTGCCCCAAACAGAATTTGTTCTCCGGTGTCACCAGATTCCAATCTCCAAGAAGGCTGTCCAGGCCTCGTCGTGCTGGGGAACTGGCAAAGCCTGTATCCGTAGATTGCAGGCGGATGAACCGGACAGCCCAGGGCTCGGAAGTCTTGGAGCGGTGGGGGTCGCGTACGCGAGCCCGCGTACCGTAAAGATCGTATCCGCGAATCCTCGTGTAGCTCAGCGAACACCCGGCGAAGCCATCTCAGCCCGTCGAATGTGCGATGGCATGGCCAAGCTTCATTCCCGTCTCAGGCCCTCAGGGTGGTCGGGTCGGGCAACGGGAGGGGTTTATGCGGTCTGAAGGTACCTTGCAATGTCACATGTCCCTCTTTGAGCCTCACCTCGTGGCCGGGTCTCTCCCACCCCGGAGCGCCTGGCTCGGGAGAGTGAGCACAAGATGCTGCCGGTACCGAATTAGGGTGTGTATTCAAATGTCGCCGTGAGCACGCGTGCGCTGGAAAGCACTGATGGCAGGATGATCGCGGCGCGGTAACGGTGCTGGGCAGCTGGCCTAAGAGTGGAGGCAGACACCTTCGAGATGGGTGCCAGATTGGGGATCTGGATCTATAGAGTAGAGGAATGGATCCCTCTTTGTGATTCCAAGAGAACTAGACCAGTCGAGACTCTGGTGAGCAGAGTGTTTGTCGAACCAAAGTAGGAAGTGCAGGGCGGGCAAGATGAGATGTAATCTTAGGCGCAATAAAACGTTGCATGGGGGCCGGCGAGGTTTACGCACCGGTTGTCCGGGCAGAAGAACCAGGTATGGGGAGAGAGGTAGCGGCGGCTGAACGGGACGCGTACAAGGCACATCCCGTTCTGGAAGTATGGGAGAGCGCTCATCAGCGAGCACCAAGCAACGGCATGTTGTCGCGATGGAACTGTTCCTGAACATGCATTCTTCCGTTGTGATTCATGGCTTTGCATCTCCCGATTGTCTGGCCACAGAAGCTGGTAAAGGCTGAGCCAAGAGTCTGGGGTTGTCAGAGACGTCCGCTTGCGTACGGATAACAGCGTAGGGCGGAATCTGAAGGGCAGAGACGGACGACAAGCAACGGTGACAGCTCGTCAAGGGGCTGCAGAGGCAAAGCTAATGCCTCGTCCTGCCGCGCTCGCCAGCCAGCGTGCCAGCATCCCGCGGCTTAGAAAGGACTCTAAGTACCTTGTTATCGAAGAAAGTTAATTCTTTCTAAGTCACAAGTACAAGAATACAGTTTTAATAAAATAATATAGTACTTATTTAGTACTTAAATTAAAATACTTTTTTAAGCTCGCTAAAAAAAAAAAATAATTATATTACTAATTACTTATTATCGAGGTTCGTAACGCTATAGCTTTAATTATAATAGCTTTATTTATAATAAGTAAAAAGTCTAATTATAAGTCTTTTAAAAGCCTCTCCTTAAGGGCTATAAGAGTTTTTAAGTTAAGTTAAAATGCTTATTAAGATATTAATAACTAAACTAACCCTACGATAATAGCTTTAATAGAGAAACTAAGAGACGAACTAAGAGATAACGCCAGAATCCTCGCCGACGTTGGGCACGATCTACGAAGGGTAGTAACGCGGCTACAGAGCATCGGCAACATGTCTCACGCGGCTTAGAAAGGACTCGTCTCGAAAAGGTAGGCGACTGTCGAGCTGGACCCGGCACCCCCTTGTGCAAGGATGCAAGCAAATCGCATCTCCACCATGCTTAAAATCTATCCATGTCAGTAAGGGCAGGGGAAGGAAGGGAGGGCAAGCCGCAAGGCACGTCTCTTGTCCGGATATACCCATGCCCAAAGCTCAGTGAGGCCCTTGTCGCGGTCTCCAATTCTTATCCCATTTCCCACAGACACTGCCACCGTCGAGTGACAGGCCGGGCCCTGGAGCAAATCCACCTTTGAATTTTGCTGCTAGCGCGCGCCAGGTGTGATGAACCAATGGGTAGTGGAAAGGCCGCGCCATCACGGCATGGGTAGAACACTTGCTCAGGGGTGATGGAGGCTGCATTGGCCCTGGAGATCTGGGCCTGCAGGGTTGCATGAATGAGGGCCGGTTCCTGAAAGTCCATTATCCGCAACAAAGAGAAGGAGGATGTCGACGTGAGGCGGACGGGATGGATGTGCCGATGGATTGACGGAATCAATGTGATAATGATGATGATGATGTAGGTAGGTAGAAGAGGATAGGATCATTTGAGGTACATGTCTCTCAATGCAGTATTCAATGTATCTTTCAGCTGAGAGACGTGGGAGGAGCCATGGACTGCAGACTGTTTTTCGGCAATAACAGCAATTGCCAGTGACAGGCAAGAGAGAAAGGAGCACTTCCTTGCCGCTGCCGAATGGGCGGTTCTAGGTAGGATTTGTGGATGAACCCGCGAATCATTCGCGGTCTACCGGGACGGTACGTACAACGTCAAAGTTGCAGTGGTTACCTCCAAAAGCTCAGTTTACTCTCCAGTCTGTATGGTAATTCCCTACGAAATACTGTGTAATAATGGGTATAAGTATCATCAGTGATGAACCGTTCCTGACCCTGATTCTGTGCTTGCCAATACCCGCGTAATGTGGTAGTGAAATCCACTTACCAAGTTACCCATCAAGACGCTGATGGCGCAGCAAGGTTGGGGCAATCTTGATGATGGGAATCAGGATTCTGCGTCTCTATAATTATCAGTAGGAAGCATTCGGATATTTCTCGTTTAGTCCTTGTTAGTCAGGGTCCAAGGTAGAATATCAGCACATTCATCTGTATGTCTTGAATCGTGCCGTGTCTTTGAATTTGTCTCGTGCAAAAGACCATTGTGTCTTATCCCCTTTGCAGACCTTTTCCAATCAGGCCGGACACCGATCTGCCAGCAACATTAACCAGTCCAGTTCAGTCTTGTAGAGATTCAGCTGGACCGGGGATGGATGGGGACTCGGAGGGACCTGCGGCGCGGGCATTCCAAGCTGGAAATGAACATGTAGGACGAGACTTTTAGCCCATGGCGATAGGCTTCTCTCTTCCGGTATCCACCAGGGTTAGCTTGTTTTGACCGATCTCTGGCTTTGTGGGAGCTGGCCGTCCATGTAACGGCACTTGCCTTATCTAACCTCGACTCGAGTCACTTGTGCAACTTTGGGTTGGTCTTTGGGCTGGTCTTTGAGGATGAGGCCCGACAACGGGGATAACTTTGGGCTCCTGTCTCTCCCTCCAACGGGGAAGAAGAAACAAGTGTTTGGTGCTTGGGATGGTCTGAGCTGGCTCCCTCCATCCGCTGGGACGCTGCCATTTCGAAGGTATCGCATCAGTAGCTGTGGTTGTACGTATGCTTTGGGCCACGGACGAATAGTTGGACGGTGTGATAACGTACGGACTCATCTACCGGTAAAGAAGCCCCTTACTCGGTACTATCACCACCATTATGCGTGGATCGTCCAGAAAAAGTCATCATTGCTGATGGGCGATGAAGTATGAACATGGACATTGGGGCAAGTGGCCCCCAACATGATCCCCGGAGGTGACCCAAAAGAGATTGATCATCGCACAACCACGGTGGAGAGTCGCAATATCATCATGGGCAATTTCGCAAGTACCACGCGATGCATTCTCCAGCCATGATGGGGTGTCTGATGCACCCAAGGGTACATATCTACAAGAGGGACAAGACATGACAACGGCGGGCTGTGTTCTCCAGCGTCATTTCCCCTCCTCCACCCCCCTTACCCCTTCCCGGCAGCGGCGCCCTTCCCCCTTCCACTAAGGTTGCCGTGCGTGCGTTCCTCTCTCTTCCTCCTCGAGATACCTGGGTGGTTGTAACTTGTATCTTCTAGCAAGTCCTTCCCTTTTACAGTACGGAGCAAGGTACTTGAGGTAGGTTCCCTCCAGCAACAGCGGACAGCGCTAAGGTGAGGACAAGCTCTAGCGCCCAGAGCAGTCCATTACCACTGCAAATGCTGCCCACAACCATTATCAGTGCGTTCAGTCCATTAAAGGTTCCTACCTACCCGCCACCTATGGTAAGGCAGGTACCTAAGCGACTCGCGGGTCCTCTACTTGTCTACTTGTATCTTTCCATAGCAACCACATCGCAAAAGTACACCACACAACGTAGGTAGTTCGTGGTCCAGATCCTCCCAAGTCCCCCCCCCCTCCCCCCAGTGCATCCCCCAAAATCCACTGGACTCACCCATCCACGCCCCTTTTTTTGCACCCAACCCCAAGGGCGGCAGGGCCCCAGCAGCTCCTCCTTCCGCTTCATCGATTGGTTCCATTGGTCGAGGCATCCCAGCCAGTCACCTCGACGTTTCATGCTTCACCACCTCCGTCGCGGATTCTGCTCTTGTTCTGCTTCTCTATCCGTACGTCGTTTGCCTTGCTGCATGCGCTCTGTTTTGCGTTGCTCTCGAGTTTCTGCTCTACTTTCAAGGTCGCCAGTTGCTCTTTCAACCTTTCTTCCCACACTACCTTACCATACCTTACCGATACCTTATTCTAATTCGCCTTGCGCTTTGTCTCTGCTGCAACCGCAACCGCAACTGCAACTGCACCTAGCCGCCCTTTGCATCTTGTCCCACGTCTTTTCTGCGGCATTTGCTTTTTCTCTGCATCCACCACCGTCAGAATATCCCCCTTTGACACGACATTTCATCCTCCCGCCCTGCCATGCCGTGTCGCATCCGCCGCCTGTCCACACATTGACGCTCGAAAGACAACGGATTGGAAGAAACAAGAACCCCTTTCTTCCTTTCCCACCCCTCTACCGCAATATCTCACTACCAGCCTGCGACACATTCCTCGACCGTCTCCAATACTTTCTTTATTCACCACCCCATCTCTTGAACCTGAACCTGAACCGCACGCAGTCCTGTTCGCACACCCGCCCAACCTCTAACCGGCATACTCCAAATAAAGAAAGCGAGAGAAAGGTTCTGCGACAATACGTATTTAGGTTGGCTTTTGGGTTTCCGCCTTGGTTTTGGGTACGAGCGTATACCTGATTGGATTAGCATTCTGTCCCACACGTCAGGCGAGTGTGTAGTACGAAGGAGGAGAAGAAAAACCGTTCAGCTGCTACTATCCCCGACCGAATTGAAAGACCCGACCCTCGAACTCGACCTCGACCTAGGCCTCCTTCTCGATTTCGATACTCCCTTTGTTCGCTGCGCCGCGTCTCTGTTCTTTCGACAGCCTGCCGCTCATCTACGCGCGAACATACTCCCCCTCAAAACTTGCCCAGGTCTACCATGAATGGTCGCAATGCGCCTCTCTCACCTGTCTCTCTAGGTGGAAGCGAGTGGTCTGTTGGCAAATACCCGAACATCAACGACGACCCGTACGCAAAAAACCGCGGCAACATCGTATCACCCCCGAATTCAGGAGGCTCCAACGGAGCCATGAATGGCAATTTCCCCCCCGGTCCCCGGAGCGCCGGCGGTCCCTCGCCGCCGCCCTCTGTCGGCCGATCCAGCAATGGCACCAATATGTATGCGAGGAGCGAGAGCGGACGAAGTATCCGCGAGGAGCAAGCCGAGGGCATACTGGGCGAGCATTACGTCGCTTTGAAAAACTACCTAAATGGCGGTTCAGGCGGGAAACCAACACCCCCGAATAAGGCCCGCGACAAGCTGTTGCGCCTATCGTCTGTCCAGTTTCTCGAACTCAGTACCGATGTCTTTGACGAACTTTTGCGGAGACAATCCCTCGGTCGCCGACCTTCGGGTCCTGGCGGTCAGGGGCCACCCCCTTACCTGATGCCCGAATCCAACTTCCATCCCAAACGCAACCAGGCCAGGCAAAAACTGTCATCCCTTGGGCCCCCGCGCTTTCGTGATCTTGCAACTGACGTCTTTTGCGAACTGGAGAGGAGGTTTCCCCGCTTTGCCGCTGGAGACATCCCTAGAGTGGGTAGCCCCGTATCGGTCCGCTCGCAGGCGACAGTCAACGGGAATGGCTATCCCAGGAGTCAAAGTCGGATGAGGCGGCCCTCAGACGCGAGCTCTATGAGAGGAGGACCACCACCGCCCGACCCTTACGGAGTGCCTCCATCACCTGGTATGCCTCCGAATGGCGACTACAACCGGCCGATGCAAAAACAATTTCAGAGCAATACAATCGTGCCGAATAAAAGTACAATGGTGGAAGAAGACGACGATGGCAGCCCGAACGAAGACGAGGAAGCTTTCGGCCTCGAACGAACCGCGACTAATCGTAGCAAGAGAAGCGAAGTCACGGAGCGGAGCGCGGTAGCATCAGAGGTGATCTTTACCCAAAATATTCTCGTATCGAGTGGAGACATTAACAACTATGACAGGCCGACAAGAAGCTTTTGGACGAATACCAGACTCAAGTCCGCGATCTGCGGGAAAAGCTTGACGTTATGGAGGATGCCATGAAGAAGAAGGACGACGAATTGAACAGCGTTCTGGATGGAGAAAGATCACGGTCAACAGCCGCGAATATGGAGAAGAAGGAATTTAGCGACCTGCGTCTTGGCCTGGAGAACAAGCTCGCCGAGGCTCAAGATCTTAACGCGTCGTTGAAGCAGGAGCTGGATCGCATGCGGGACGAACACGCTAACGAATCTCGGCAATTGAGAGACCAGATGGATGAGTTGCGCTTGTCTAGTGCGGCTGCAGGTGCAGCCAACTCTGGCAATGCAGATAGGGAGCTGCAAATGGAAAACCAGCAACTTCGCCAGTCTCTACAGGAGCAGCAACAGGTTACGGAAGAGGCTCGACGCGAGGCTCGGGAATTCCTCCGCGAAATGAAGATGCTTTCACAACAGAGCGGTTCAACTTGGCAGAAGCAGGAGGAGCTGGAGAAGACAATTGAGCAGCTGGAAGCAGAGGTTCGCGACTGGCGCAATCGCTACGCACGAACAAAGACACAACTTCGCAGCATGCGTGCCTCTTCACTGGGACTAACCGTCGAGCAAGATGCCTCAAAGTACATTAGAGAAAAGGGATTTGCACAGGATGGAGGCGCAGTTAAGGATGTCCACGTCACCAAATTCCAGATCGCCATCGACGAACTCCTCCAACGCGCGCGCGCGGAGAACCCGGACACCGTCATTGACGCTATGAAGCAAGTCGTTGTCAGCGTTCGCCGAATTACTAAGGATATCGACGAGGGTGTCGCTACCAACGAGGAGCTCGCGCAGCAGCGTTCCAAGCTCAAGGGCAAGATCTCTTCGACGGCCAACCACCTCATCACGACATCAAAGAACTTTGCCTCGTCAGCAGGCATCACGCCAGTTTCCCTCCTCGACGCCGCCGCCACTCACCTGGTTGCCGCTATTGTCGATCTCCTCCGAGTCGCAAAGATTCGATCCACGCCCGCTGGCGAACTCGAGGATGAGGATGACGGCACAATCACTCCCGTTGACTCGACCGGTTTCTTCTCCCCTAGAACGGCCTCGAGACAGGAGTCGATCATCCAGGAGTCTTTGCCGCCATTGGGACAGGCACCCGCACCTTTTCGTGGGCTTGGCGGTGGCCGAACCAGTATGGACTCCTCCGCTTACAGCCCCATCAACTCTCCTCGCCAGTCTGCGGACGCCTACAACCAAGCCCGGGGCGCCAATGGTATGAACGGTATGAACGGGATGGGTGGGTTCGCGGGCATGAACCAGAACGGGCCAGCCAATGGCTACGGTAACGCTATGCGACAACAGGACAATCGGGCTGAAGATCTCAAGATCTATCTCGAGGACCAGACCGCGATCTTGGTTCAAAACATCCAGAACCTGGTCGGCTCCATCCGAAGCGATGCCGCCATCAACCAGATTACATCCGAGATCAACGGCATCGTAGAGGTTGTCGACAAGGTCATTGGCGAAACCGAGGCATCTGGCAATGGCAGCATGATTACCAGACTTGTCGCTTGCCGGGACCGCCTTTTGGAAGCCAGCGATCGTGGTATGGACATTGACCGCGGCCAAGATGTCGGTGCCACCGGGCGCAACGATCGCGAGTGGAGGATGTGGACGCAGACCCTACCTCCCATTGCTTTCGAAATTGCTCGGGAGACCAAGGAGCTGGTCCAGCGCGTCGACCGAATGGTCAGCAATGGAGACGACGACTTCTCTTAAACTCGGTTTGAGGCCTAGAAAAGTTTCGAATCCAACTTTCCCCCCCAAAAGATGTGTATAATCTTGAAACGACAACACCACACAACCCTCTCCTTCATCACTGAAAGAGAGTTTTGATACCCCTGCTGTCCTCGGGGCGGCTTTGCTTGCATTTATGTGTTCTGCGAGTTTTGGGACGTTGACGACGATGACAACAAAAGAGAGGTCTACCTTTTTTTTTCTTCCTTGTTTTTCGTGTTTTGTCACTGAACGTATATACTATACACCCTTCCCACCTGTGGGACTTTTTTACTGGTCCCAAGCATGGGTTTTATAGAATGGGGGCTCGCTCGGTCTCTACAGCCTTGGGGCGTTTAATTTTGCTCGAGGAGTTTTGCACGCGAAGCATGAGAGAATGGAAATTCGAGGAGATTTTGACCGGAGGAGGTGGGTTTTCCTGTTGTTTTAACGTCACGCGAATGAAGTCGAAGAAAGAACTCGGAAAAGGAGGGTCCTTGGGAGACCTGCTAGGCTGCTGCTCGCCCAACACATACACTCCTGGCTATGTAATTCAGGATAGTGGGCGAGAGGGGAGAGGTTGTTGAGGACGTTTTCGATGAACAAAGATAGGATAGCCCCTTTCAAAGTATAGCTAATGCTAAAAGTGCCCCTTCGCGAGGCATGAAACCCAATCTTAAGATACACGTGCAGTCTATTAGTGAAGGATGTAGGTATGAGCATATGGGTGAAAGGTGCGGCGTCTTGGGCGGACCCCGAGGTTTTTTGGCTCTGAGTACGAGCAAAAAGGTTAATAGGTCTGGCACATGACACTCACTACGGTGCCACTATCGTCAAGCTGAGCAACGGCCTTCTCCACGTGGCGGACACCAGTGCGACGGCGGTGCGGACGAACCGGTGCGGGGAGGGCGCTATGCTTTGAGTTTCTCGTACTGTACAGAAGTCTGGAAACTGATTTTGCGGTGAGGTTTAAGAGGTAACTCCCCCCCTATGTTCTCCGAACATCTCGACACCAGTGGTTTCTGTTGTGACCGATGTGGAAGCTTGTTGTCTCGGACGGGGTTGTTGTTCGCGGAAGATCGGCCTGAATTCTGTGGTTGGTATGTTGGTTTTGGTTGGAGCCGCCGGCCGGGTTCATCCCTTGAAAGTGGGGGGAGTAATCCGAGGAGGAGAGGAAGTAAAGAGGGGCCGGGGAGAAGCTACCTAGCTTGCCTAGGTATGCTTGAACGACCGTTCTCTTTTCTTCCCCTGGAATGGAGAACTTACGAAAAGTTGCGAGCGAGTGCGAGCATGGATTATGTCGAGTGCCCCGCAGTCATGTGCTTTAAGCCTTTCTCCTCTTGCCGTCACTCCGTATCGTAAGATCACCAACCATGGCGTTCGATTAGTATATCGCGGATGGATGTTAGTAGGGCTGACATCTCGCCAAGGTTGGATGTAAGACCTGGCCAGGGGGGGTTGGGTCTGCTCTCGGTCTGGCTTGGCTCGTCTGTATCGGGGGTAGCACCCCGGCTTTCCTTTGTGCTGTTGGTTGCTTTCCTCTTCGCGTTGCGTGCGTACTGCTACTGCTGCAAGTGTCAGCTTACCTGTCCTTCACTCGTTCTGCCCATTAAGGAATCCGATCCTGATCCAGCGGGCCAATGGGCCTGGTTTCCCCCTCTTTTACATGGCTGGCTTACGACGGTCGCTGGAGCCATTGGGGAGCTCCAAACGCTGGACTCCGGCCCAGCCCTGACGTTTCTCTGCTGGGTAGCTGGTTTGGGCGATGAGTGAGACTCAGTGGTGGTCGTAGTATATGTTGTACAGGCGCGCTCATTGCCTTGTTTCGATTGCTTAAGCTTATTCATCGTTTTCCGAAAGCCCACTGAGATTCCGTGATGACATTCACAACATCTCGCGACTGTGATTACTGAACCATCTAGGACCCGACAACCACGGTCTCCGCTTGAAGCCACTTATACTTGCTGGACCCTGGATCTCGTCGATTCTCACCTTGTCCAAGAACCCGCGGATGGCCAACTGGACGTCGCTTCATTCGCCTCGGTAATACAAACCACATTCGCAATCCCAGCTGAGACTACTACCGCCGCCATGGATGTGTCGAAGAACGAGTTGCATCTCCTCGGCCTGCCCCTTGAAGTCCGCCTCCAGATATACGGCTGGGTCCACGTGGCACATCCAGTAGAGCACGCGCAGCTCGCGCCGTGGTATCCGAATCCAATACATAGTGCGTACTTCTTGAGGCCCGTCAACCCCCCCGGAGTGGAAACTGAGGATTGTGCCGTACCAGGGAAAATTGTGAAAGCCATCGGCCAACCTGCAGGAGAAGAGGACGATTCCGACAGAGACCAAAAGTCTGAAGAGCCATCGCTGCTATCACCGAACCGTCCAATCTCTGGTATCCCCTCGGCGCTCCTGGAGACCAATAGGCAAATTTACAACGAGTGCCGGTCCTACCCCTTCCACACGAACGAGTTCGTCTTTGTCAACTGGTTCTCCTCAGGACTTTGGGCTGCGCGGGCCTTCACGCGCGGTCTGCGGCCATGGCAGCGGGATGAGATGCGGTGGGCGAGGCTCGAGATGCTCGGGCGGGACTGTACGGGCCCAGCGCTGAAGGAGTGGATTGAGTTGTGTGAGCATTGGTCCTTCGGGCTGCGGGGGCTGAGGCTCAAGATCCTGATAGGAGGTGGGATATTCGAACCCACTGCCCCCTTTTCCGCGCTGAAGAACAATGCAGAGGCCCAGGCCATGGGGCTGGGCTCCAAGACGACACGGCCCAATCCCAGGCCAGAATGGATCGAGGAAGGGCTGCGAAAGCTGAGGGCGTTGAGAAGGCTGGAGGTCGAGCTTTCGGTGCTAGATTGGGGCGATGGGGAAAAGCTCGAGTGGTGTGCTGAGCTTGGAAAGATGCTCAACATCGGTAAGGAGGGGGAGGACAGCCTCGTCGTGGTGAGGTGTGTTGAGAAGCTCGAGGAGGATAATGGATCGAAAAGGCAAGTCTTTGATGGCACTGCGCAGTGTTGAGCTCCCTGCTGAGTATTACTCAAGCATAGACTGGGATATATGGCTTTCAGGGTGATGGCTGTTGGCTACTGACACTCAAAGTCCAAGCCACGAATGACGAAAGAGGAGAGAAGCTTTTGGTCCATGGGATGGAAAGACGAAGATGGAGTCGAATGAATAAGTGACCACGGGATGAAGCGCCTGGCGTTCTGGGGATGCAACTGGGAGTATGGCATCAGGCAATGTACAGTCCGGGTTATGGTCATTAGGAATGGGATCTCTATTGTTATGAATACCTCAGGCTCCTCCTGAAAAGGTGAATGAGGCAAGACCCAATATTCACTGTTCAAGACCAAAGGTAGGTGCTATTGTTTGCTCCTGCCGTCTTTCCATCTGAAGTTGACCCGGCCGGCCTCACCTTCTTCTTTCCTTGCCCACTTCGAAGAAAATCCAACTGCTCTTCTTTTTCTTCTTTTTCTCTCACCAAAGCAGCCAGTCGCCTGCTACCAAGAGATTCCTCTTCCCACTCCACCTCCCGCCCTTCCCCTTCTCTTGGACCCTCGGCTTTTCTCCTCAAGCATCATCTTCTTGTACGCATTGCCTACTTGCAATATTACACAATATCCTCACCTTACAGGATACCGTCCGCTCCTACTTGCGACTTTCAGGCGCTGCTCAGGTCGATTGACGACGAAGGAATTTCTTGTCAAGGCCATATTCCCTAGTACGACAAAAGTGGCATTCCTGGATATGAGAGGTCGCTAACAAGGTCACAGATTCCTGTGTTCTCGTCAAAGAGATCACATACATTCCCCTCAAAGAACATCGCGAGAACCTTACATTCACGTCAACTACTCACAAAATATCTGGTAAGTTGAAGCCAGAAGAAATCCTTAACTTTGAACAAATACTTACCATTTGAAGTGAAAATGAACGGTCACATTATGCGCGGTCGCTTCCATCCCCATTGCCCTGAGTTCAGCATTGACTATTCTACTGCTTGGTCTCCTGAGGTCCGCATTCCGGTTCTTATCCTCATCACTCTCTTCTTGATGTCGATGAACCCGACTGTCGCCGATATCATTAAGGGTACTGTTTGGATGGTTGTCAAGCCCATTGCCCTCCTCATTGGCTACTTATCTGTCGCCATCATCCGCATCCTGATCTTCCTCTTCATCGATGGACCCAAGATGATCACCATCCTCATCACCCCCGACAGACGCGACAGCGTCGACTTCCTTGGCATCGATGTTGAGAACAATACCAAGCTCAACGCCATCTGGAGCCGTCTCCACACCGAGGAGGAGTGGGTTCCCGGCGGTGTCTTCGACAAGAAGTACAAGCCGTTTCTCCCAGCCCGTAATATGAAAATGGCCGGCCCTCGTCAGAAGAAGGTCATGACCCGCGACCGTGGCCTGTCTTGCTAAATCAAGTTTGCTTGTGGGCGCATTGCCAAGTCGATGAACAAAGACTCTGTGGAGGAACTGGATCTTCTTTGGGAACCGGATCTACCGCTTGGGCCTTGTCATCGACTTCATTCGACCTGCCAACTATTCGACTGTTCAGCAGCAAAGCATTCACGGGGCTATGGGATACGATGGTTTGAATTTACGGCCATGGGGGTTTTCTATTGGGGAGATTCGGGATTTGGGTTGACCTCGCTATTCATGGGCGAGCCACTAGACCTATCATCTTGGATGTCTACTAGTCGCAGCTGATACTCGACCACGGATATTTGCAACGACGTCGGTGGACCTGCCCTGGATGATACGGATAGATTGGAGATTTCAAAATCGTCTCGGAGCCCGGAAAAGTTATAGAGAGAGATACCCACGGGCGTGCGAGCTGACGAGGCTCTAGACCGTTAGACGTTGGTCAAGGAAGGGCTCCTAATGACTCAGATGAGATAGAAAGGTAATCAGACCCTGATACATTGCAAACTGATTTCTTCTGTCGCGGCTCGGTGCGGTTCAATGTTTAGTTCGACTGGGATGAGTGATGTGACGTCGAAATGGACATCCACTCAGCGCGGAAAGGTCCCGCCAGTGTGCAAGGAACTGTTCGCGAGACATTGGCCAATCGGAGCAGGGCGGTCAGTGGCTCTCTGCAGTTCATCTACTTTCTGACTCTTTGACGTCTTGAACAACGAATGCTGTTCTGAGGTACTACACGCAGAATATACATTTAGCATTCCTCCTTCTTTCTGAAGTCTCCCATATCCATCTAATGGAGCCGGCGTACTCCTCGGTCGTTGAGTACAAGAGAGTCAATTGTACAGTTGAGCATCGAGTCGGCTCCTACCTATGTGCGGTTGCAACCCAACACGCTCAACTGCTTTTTGTTCCGCGAATATAACCCCGAAATTCTGAGTCAACTTTCAACCTAACCCGATGCCGAAGGCATGTTAGTACTTTTGGAGTATCTATCTCGCGAAATACGGATGGCTCCGCAACAAAACCCGGTCAAGCAGGGCCGCTAACCATGTGACTTCGCGCCAGTCTCGCTCCAAAAGCCTGTCTCGTCCCCCGAGCATCCGCCTCAGCCCGCCCCGCACTCCCCCCTCCCCTCTCCCACACCACCCCGGCCGTGACTCACGTCCCTCCTCCCAACCCCGGTCACCGCTGCAGCGCAAGTCGCAGCAATTAGTGTCCTTGCCTACTTTCGATATCGCGCTGAGACGCGTGTTGAGTTGTATTTCCCACCCCGACGTCGGGTTGTCTGTAGAGAGGAATCGGTGTCTGCGTAGATAGGCCGTAGTCGTTTTGCATGCGTTAGCTGTGTGTGTCATGTGGTTTTTGGGGGGGAGTCACTAGGTACATAAAAGACGGGAGGATTCCCCTTTCGGACGAACTTGATTGCTGACTCCTCACGCATCATCCTGAGGAATTGATTTCTCCTTACAACACTTACACGTGGGACTTTGGATCTACTCTCTTTTCCCTATTCTTATTCCATTTGAGTCTTGACTGGAAGCCGGCCTACCAGACGTCCTCGGTACCTGAAAGGATTGCCAACCTTCTAGTTGAGATCTCACTCGGCATTTGAAGGGACAATCTGACGTCACACTGCCGCTATCACTATTGACCCGCTCACGCATTACGGAGTACCTCAACTGTACTACGCAACTTTCAACTCCGACCTACCCAAGATGGACGCCCGATGCCAATGCGGAGCCGTGTCCTTCAAGACGCCGCTGCCGCAACCTCTCCGCCTCTATATATGCCACTGCGAAGAATGGCACGTTCAACAACTCTCATACTCTCCTTCGCCGATTAGTGGCCGCAGTCATGCTGACTTGAGCCGTTTTTGGTTTCTAGTAAAAGGCAAACGGGTTCCGCGTTCGGGACGTCTGCAATCTTCCCCAAATTTAAGCTACCAAAGGCTGATCTGATGGGTGTCTACGCGTGAGTATTATACACACGGAGCAGGAAGAGAAGAAAGGCGCACTCGTTCGAGCCGTAGGTGTGGGAGGGGGTTGTGAAGCGTGAGAGTGAGAGTGAGAGAGTTGCGAGTTGTGAAGGAAATATCGAAATCCTTACTGACTTATGAGCAAATAGGAGGCCAACTGCGTCCGGCGCCACGCTCTACTGGTGAGCAGACACCCTCCCTTACAGAAATCTGGGATCTATGAACTGACAGTTATGTGACAGCTACTTTTGCCGTAACTGCGGAACCAGACTAATCCACGCAACACCGGTATGTCCTTCCGTAACACCAGAAACAGGCTCCAAAAACGAACGCAGACTGAATGCTCGGCGACCACCTAGGATAAGAACGTCGTCTCCGTAAAGGGCGGCTGCATCGACGGCTTGGACTGGAAGACGGCCGTCCACATCTGGACCAAGAACGCCATGGTGCCGATCCCCGAAGGCGCGGAGAACCACAGCGAGGAAGCAGAGTATACCGACTACGGCGACCAGCAAGAGGCACTGGATCAGCCGACGGACCTGCGCGGGAGCGGAGGCACGCTGGCAGATGCGGTATCGGTTGACGGGCGGTGTGAGCTGAGCGGGACGACGCTGAAGGCCATTGTTCACTGATGTGAGCGATACGACTGGCGTATGTCACGTCGGACGAGCGCTGGGAATGATGTTTGCTTGTGTCTGGTCACTAGAGGTACTTTGGTTGGGACAATTAATAAGCTTGGGGGTGGTGTAGGTAGTATTAGTCGGTTCTATGATATCCCCCAAAATTGGAATACTATGAGAAAGAGTCATCTAAGCCGTAATGCCGTCAAAACATGGAAATTTAAAAGCCATCAATATGCCTGCTCTCTTCGCAGATTAATTTCTCGGCATTCGCAGAACTCACGAACGCTGTCCGACGAGAGACTCCTCACCACTCGGCCTTCCATTTCCGTGCGCGGGCTTGGCAACGGACTCATGCTGGTGCTGCTGGCCCTCCTCAGCGCGCGCCCCGGCGTCGGAGTGCTTGGCTGGGTCGAAGACGTACATGGGGAACTCGAGGAAGATGGTGCGCTTGAGGAACGTCGGCATGCGGGCGTACAGCTGCGGCGGGAAGGGGATGAGGATGCTGGTGCGCTCGAGGTAGCGCTCATAGCCCTCCCAGTTCTGGTTCTTCTCGTAGCGCTTCTTGGCGCCGGGACGCTCCTGGAGAGTCAGGCCCGAGACGAACATGAGGAGCAGCGTCAGGAAGAAGGGGCCGAGAATGGTGGCGTAGAGTGCCTTGAAGGCTTGGCCGCCCACGTAGCCGTCGGCGGCTGCCGAGACGGCGATCATGTAGATGCCTAGACGTTGGATGCTGTGTTAGCCAAGGACTCTCTCATGGCTTGGTTTTGGTTTACTTCGTTGCGCTGACAAAGCATGGGGGGAGAAGATTGGCATTGTGTGAGGTGGTATCACTTGGCATTGAGTGGCAGTGTGAACTTACCGAACTGAATAATGATTTCGCCGAAATAATTGGGGTGCCTCGAGAGCTTGAAGAAGCCCTTGTCGCAAATGGCCTCGCGGCTCGGGTTGTCCCTGCGGAAGACGTACTTTTGCGCGTCGCTGACCGACTCCATGACGAAGCCGACGACGAAGAAGATGACGCCGACAATGTCGCGACCGGTACCAAAGTCGTGCTGCGGGTAGCGCGTGACGTTGGGCGAGTTAAGCACGGTGACGGGCAGGGAGACAGTCCAGACCCAGATCATCTGGAAGATCCAGAAGCCAAGAAAGGGGAAGAACTTGTCGCGCTTGTCGTCGAAGCGGTCGTCCTTGCCCGTCTTGAGGATGCGGAAGAGGAGGAAGGCCGAGAGGCGGGCGCCCCAGAGCATGATGAAGATGGAGGCGACGATTTGGCGCGCATGGTTGTGGCCGCTGATGGCGAGGGTGATTATGGCCAGGACGACGAAATTTGTGCCGCCGGCAAAGTCTGTGAGAGATGTTAGTTTTGATGTTCATTGTTCATTTGTAGAGTGAGTTGGTGGATTTATCGAATGAGCCTTGCAGGGCTGGGTGTGGATTGGTCTTACCGGTGAGCTTGTCAAACTTGAAGCTAAAGGCTATTGAAAAGAAGAATAATTGGTATGCTACTGTAATGAGAGCCGTGATGGCTAGATAGTAGTCGTCAAGGACGTGTACAACCGCCATCTTGGGCTGCCTTCTATCTCTGTGTGTCGTTTGAATGCGAGTTATTGTTGTTGTTCTGTGGCTGCGATCTAGAGTCTGAGACGCTTGGAAATTTGTTGAAACACACGGGGGCCACAGTCGCCGGTGCTGTAAGATGAGCCTGGATGAGAAATGTGAAGAAACGCGAGTGTTTAGCAAGCTGGCTTAAACCAACTTATCATCACCATCACGGGCTTCGGAAGCTATGGAAGACGACGTCAAAAAAATCTCCCGATGATCGTAGCTGCACATTGCTTAGCCTCAACTGGTGGTTGAAGAAGGATTACACTGTCGTCATTGACTTCTGTAGGCCCACTGCTTTGGCTCAGCTTTGAAAGAGCCCGTGTACCGATGCAGGCCAATTAGTATGATGATGGTACATTGAACTATGGCATCGATCGGACTTGCAGGGCGACCGAGGACCGGTTGCTATGTAGGTCTCTAGCCACGTTCTAGCCACGTTGGGAGGTACGAGACCTCTACCAGCCACATTACCTAAGGGAGATCCGAGATTCTCTAGCCACAATGCAGACATACGTATTAGCCATAGGCTATAACCATAGGCTATAGCCGCCGTCTTTAAGCTTGTCCGGAGCTGCCGCCGCCACATTGCGTGCAGGAGGGGATGGGCTGAATTACATCAGCATGCACTCGGACCGTTGTAAGGCTCTCTTACCCACTGAATTGAGTGAAACGAACGAGACTGGCGTCCCCGTCTCCCGATCATGACATGCTGATCCCTGGACTTAACCGCAACATCCTATTGAAGCAACAGGTCGGAAGGGGGCGTTTGTCTAAGGTATCATGTATCACAGTGTCTTGGGGCCCCCTTCCTCATTCAGGTTGGTGCACAGTCGCATTAACCTTCACTGCGACCGCCGCACATGAACTCGGTGCTTCGGGAAGCGCTCGTCTCGACACCAACTGCCGTTCCAGGACCATTGTCCTGAGATACCTAGGTGGCCATCTCTCAGTTCCTTATTCCGTTCCCGAGCAGGAAAGCAACACAGACTCACCTCACCCACGACGTCGGAGAGAGGTCTTTTATTATTTCTCATCAAAACGTGTTATTATCTGGGCCGGTATCACCATCGCCAACCGCTAATGACGGTCCTGGTCTTCTTCTGGCCCGTGGCACGTTCATCGCCTGCAGCATGCACCAGAACGCACATTATCTGCATGTCATCAAACGTGCCGCCCGGGCTCTCGCTCGTTTGACCCATTGCTTCAGCACGCATGTCGCCCCAGCCACTTGAGGCACGAAAAGCTCATGATTATAGCAAAGGTGTTCATTTTCTCCTCGCCTTGGGACGACCCTCGTTGTCTCAATGCCGTTTTCCCTTCTTCCAGCAAGAGAAAGAGCCTGCTCTAGTCTACAAATACTACCTTACTGTACTGCGTACGCAAGCGCAACGTGTTTGGCGACAGAAGCTGTCTCGGCGATGGGCTCATCCTACTGTCCGAAGGGACGATGCGGAAAAATGGCAAGTTGAGACGAAGACATCCATGGGCTCATCACTCATCAGTCATCCACAAATGCCGCGCATCCTACGAAAACTGCATCTGCATCCGTATCCGCGCTTCTTTTCGTCTTTGGCCCCTCTATTTCGCCACGTAGCGAGAGCAAGAGCAAGAGATGGGCGCCGACCACCTCGCCTGTCATCGACCTGCACTGGATGCTCCATCCGAAAGGCCCATCCCACGCTGTTGATCTTCACGTGGGTGCGAGGCATGGTGGATGCGTGCGTGATGCGTGCGTCCCGCCTGTCCAAGTGTCGATGAAGCGCTGACACCTTTTTGTTTTGTCGTGGGCCCCGACCCGACGACCTCCTCTCCCAAGCCCACCAGTCGCAATGCATTTCGTGCAGCGGTAGCCGCCTGGGCCCTTGGAGAGTCTGGGGAAACGAAATGAGAGTTTTTTGTGATTGCGATGCGGGTTCTATTTTCAACGATCGTCACCACGAACACGAGTCAAAGAAGCCGTTTGCAGCAGTTCCAGCAGTAGCGGCAACGTCGTTGATGGCGATATGCTGGGATCGAACGAAAGCCAAAAAGAATTTCCCGCATACCCGTGGGAAACATTGTTTCACCCATCTACGGATACCTCGTTGCTGGTGTATCCGTACAGATTCAAGACGTAGTGTACTGGACAGTGGAGGGATGAGGGCTCGGGATGGATCATGGAGTGGGATACCTATGGCACCCGTGGCCACCGAGATTTTGAAGCCGCCATCGGTCTTTCGCATCATGTCCGCCCCTCGCATGGCTGCCTCATCAAACTAGCATCACGTCACACATCACGGACACAGACACAATGGGATGGGATGGACCATCGTCGAAGTCGAGTCTCGACGGTTCATCGTTGCAGTTGCCCTCTAGAAGCTAGCGTTGGCTTGCGTTGGCTGTCACTTGGGCTAGTGGCCGAAGGGTGTGGCTCGCAGGTCTGGCGCTCTCGCAGTTTCGGAGCCCTGGCGCGAGTTTGGGGTGGCTCTGGTGGCTCTGTCACTGTGCCCCCCGTCTCAGACGGTCTTCGTCTGGGGCATGTCTCACACCCTTGAGCCCCAGCAAGCCCAGCCCAGGGTTCTTCCTCGCCAGCGCCGTGGAATGATTGGAATGCTTCTAACCTCTCTCGACGCCCTCCCGGACCCTTTTGCAGCGGCTCCACGACGCCTTGCTTCACACGGCCTCCATCTCCGATCGACCTTTTCACGATCCCTAGCCCGACCCGACAATGTTGGACATGGATGGGGTGAGCCATACTGCGTAGGCGGGCATGCAGCATGGCGGGGAGCGGGCCCCTGGCGTTTCTTGGCCGCCCTGAACCGCACTGATCGAGTCTGCAGTGTTCCTGACAGAAACCCTGGTCTCCCTTGCTCCATCGAGAGTCGATTCAGTCAAATCAGAAGACTTGTCGCCTTCGACAAGACGTCCATCGTACCAGTTCTAGGCCCCCATCCAGCTTCTTTTTGCCCTGTCTGGCTGCTCGTCCACCATGAAGCGGCGAAGCCCACCCCGGCTAGCCATGGCCAAGCATTGGCAAGCATTTTGGCACCCGGTGCGCCGAAGAGCCAATCTGATGGTGCATGGCTGGGCATTGACATGGGCCAATTCGTGATTCTCGACGGTGGTCCCCTTTTCGATTAATCTTTGCAGCTCCCGCAACTCAAGGCTCGACTGTTTTTGTGGTTTGATGGTGCTTCGTCCCATCTTTCCTTTACTTCTCGCTCTCCTTACCCAAACTCTCTGCGTGTGTGCGTGCCTGTTCCTGGCGGGAAAGACACGGAAAATACGGCATTCAGTCTCTGACCAAGATTCACACCTCTCACATTCTCTTGTCCTCACACCCCCCCTCAGACCCATTTCTGGTCACATCTCTCGTCTTTTCTTAGTACCCGCACACCCTCTCGATCACTCTCACTACTCGAGGGGTCTTGGCCGTCTTATCTCATTGAACTCTGGACATGTTCTGCAGGTCGCTGTCTGTCTGCCCGTAACTCTTTCCTTTCGTAATCGCGAAGGTTTACGGAACACTCCACAAACCACTACACTCTTTTCGATCCTAGGGTTGATCCCAACGAACTCACCGACGGCTGGCCTGTTGAACTCGCTCTTTGAAAAAGCAAATAGTGAAAAAGAAGGATACGAATAGTGGAAAAGATCGAAACCGAGAAACGCTGGCGACACTCGAAGGTCTCCAGCTTTCGCCCCCGAGCCCACGATGAGGCATAGTCTACTCTTCGCCGTGGCAACTCTAACATCAATCGCTCAGGTGCGTTCACTCAACATACCGCGGGACAACTTCGTCGAGGGTGGTGATGAATTTGGGTTGACGAGAAAGCAGGGCGCGGCTGTCGACAAGAGACAAAACATCAACATCGATGGAAGCGGAAACGTCAACGTAGAGGGTGCCAACGCGGGCGCGGTTGAAGTGAAGACGGTGAACCTTGGAAATGCTGGATCTCTGAACAAGGGAGCGAATGGAGGAGGATCGGGACAGGGCAACCTCATCGCCGGCATCTTGGACGCTCTCAACGGTGGCAGCAGAAACAACCAGGGCAACCGCAATAAGCCGAACAACGCTTGTCCTCCAGCTCCTCCAGCGCCGCCGCCGGTCACTGTCACGAAGACGATCTACCAGAATGCCTCAGTACCTGCGCCGTTGACGGTCTTCGTTACGCAGGCTCCTCCGTAAGCTTTCTCGACCTAGCGAACGCTGGACTATTCAATATGATGGGATGAGACCACTGACCAACAAATCATATAGGCCTCCACAGATCATCACGCAGTTGGTCACGCAAACGCCGCCCGCTGCTGCTCCGCCTCCGCCTCCGGCTGCTCCCCCAGCTGCTCCTCCTGCGGCCCAGCCTGCTGCTCCGGCTCCCGCAGCTCCCGCGGCCCCCGCAGCACCGCCAGCTGCTCCTGCTGCATCGAAGGCGCCTCTGGTCATTCCGGGACCTCCTCCGACAGATCCATTCGCTGGCTTGAAATCGAACCCGCCCCCTGCGGCGGCTCCTGCGGCCACCCCGCCTCCCGCAGCAGCTCGTAAGTGGCATTCTACTAGTGAACGATCTAAGACAGGTTCGAGAATAGGCTGACAATGCATGGATAGAACCTGCTCCGGCTCCCGCTGCCCCTCAACCCCCGGCTGCCCCCCTCGTGGGCAACGCGCCCGCTGTCAGCAAGCCGTCCGCCTCCGTCAACCTTGGCGGCCTCAACGGCAACGGCGCTGCCAACCAGCCCGCTGCAGCAACGCCCGTCGCTCCGATCGCCGCGAACCCCGCTCAACCCCAGGTCGCCGTCAGCGGCCTTGCATTGACAAGGTCTCTTCAGCTCGGCAATCTCTTGCAGGCGACTGCCCAGCTCCAGGCTCGTGCGACGCCCCCAGCTTAAGGACCGACTACTCGTCGAACTCTCTGATCGACATGCAAGTGCTGTGGAAGGGTTTTAATCGGACTGTGAGGTGGTAGCCAGGGAGGGAGGTTGAGTTGCATATACTGCGTATGCATAAGACGTACCTAGGCAACGTCGTTGACGACTTGAAAGTGGTTCAGCAACGGCATACGAAATACCCTAGATTTTTCGATTCTTGGAATGAGGGGGAAGTTGGTTGGAAAGGAAGGGGTTTTTAATGGTGAAATAGGGGAAGGAGAGGTCTCGGTTTGGCATGGTGGTATATACGAGAGAGCGAGGAAGGTGGAAAAAGGAGGCAGCGTCAGACAAACCCCACCCTTCACTCTCATTACGACCACACGTCTTGACCTGCTGCGCGCGTGCGATGAGGTTCGTTTTCTGGAAAGCTTCCACATGGTGTGGCGTGTGTAATGGGAAGATGGAGAGGGAGTTGGAGAAGTTGAGCCAACTTACACACATATCCCCCCCGCGGTTGTACATAATTCATTTCTTGAAGACATCGAAAAACAAAAAGGCAACACCAAAACACTTGCACCCACCTAGACCCCTTTCCCCAAACCTATATACGATTGCATTGGAAAGAAGACGGTCAAGTTTCATAACGCGTCTCTTATGCCGTGTGAGGGATAAATGACTGCTCTTTACATTGGTGAATCTAGCGTCACCGTCATCAACTTGTGGAAAATATCGATATCCTGATAGAGAGGTATACAGAGGTTCAATGATGCTCTCTTCTAAGGGGTATCATAAAGCGTAAATGACTTCCGCCCAACCCAATATCTTCCTATGCCATTCTCACGCCCTTTTCTTCTGTTCTTCTGTTCTTTTCGTTCCTGACCTAAGCATCTATGAAGCCTCCTTTTCCTGTTCCTTGAGAGCTAACCTCAGCTTCTTTGCCTGCCTCTTGCTAACTGTAGGTTGCGCGCCATCACCACCCTCATCAGGCGTCTTGCGCTTCTGCGCATTGCCCTTGTCACCACCACCACCACCACCACCTGCACCGCCGCCTTGTTGCTTCTTGCCCTTCTTCCCCTGCTGCTGCCCCTGCCCCTGCTGCTGATTCTTCTTCACATCGCTCTCCCGCCCTCCGACCTCGAGCACGTTCACGACGCCCCGGAATCCGCTCCTCTTGATCCCTTCGTTGACCACGACGCCGCGCGGGTTAACCCCCAACGCCTCGGTGCCCCTTTCGCTGCCCAAACCCCACACGGCGAGCAAGTTGACCACGTCGTTGGGCGCCCTCAACCCCAGCGCGCCGCGCGCCTCGCTGGAGACGACGATGCCGCGGCCCTTTGTCGCGCGGACGAGGGAGGCAAAGTTCGAGATGAACGTCGCGCGGGCTCTCGCGTCGGGCGGGGGCCCGATGCAACCGCCACCTCCAGAAGAAGACGAAGTGAGGACCTGGGCGTAGCAGACTTCGAACTTGACGCCGCGGGCGACGGCGGCCATGAGGGGTTTCGGGCGGAAGTGGAAGGGGAAGTGCTGCGTCAGGTCGAGGGAGATGAGGGAGGGCTCGGCCATGGAGAGGCAGGCTGCCTGGAAGGCCTTTTCCGTGGTGGGCCGGACGGCGAGGATGTCGTAGGCTAGGGCGAGGGTTGGGAGGCGGTAGTTTTGGGAGGGGTCTGAGAGGGTTACTGTTGCGCGGTGGAGGATTGTTGGTTGTTTGTTTTGTTGTTGTTGGGAGGATTGTGATGGGGTCCCTGTTGGCGGTGGTGGTGTTGCTGTTGTTGAGTGTGATGGGAACTTTGGTAGGGGGCTTGTGATTTGCGAAGGGATCGGGGGCGTTATTGTGTGGTTGAGGGCGAGGACCGTGTAGCCTAGGGAGGAGGCGAAGGAGATTGTGCGGGCGAGGTCGGCGGGGGATGTGGTTGGGGACCACGGGATGTTGAGGTCGTAGAGCATTTTGGGTTGGTTGGGAGAATTTCGATGAAGCTATCGTGGGGTTTGGCGCATAGGAGCTTGCGGTGACTGATTTCTTGGTGTGATCCGGTGTTCGTCCTGGGCTCGGCGCCGATTTCGTGCACAGTATCTTGCTTGAGATGATATCGTAGTGATCAATCGGGGGTTAGAGCAGAGAGATCGACCTCACGGCGCTGCTGCTGGTCGAGTTGATGTCGCAACCTTATTGGCTTCGAGGTTGACTCTCGTGGTACGGCGCGTCGCCGAAATTTTTTGGACTGAAGACGGAGGTCGGTGTTAGGTTGGTTCCGCGGGGTTCGGTTCTGGTGCTGGGATGACGCACCCACACAGGCAGAAAGGTTACTGCGTAGGTTGACTTTAAGGAACGTGGGGCCCAAAGTGGCTTGCATGGCGCTAGACACATCTTTGCTTACCTTAGCCTTTTAGGTGGCCTCTTCCCACTTCAAGCCACCAACTGAGGTGTCACTGACGGTCGGGCGCTTTTTGGCCGGAGGTAACGGCGGGAAGAACGGGGTGCGGAAACATCGGACTGGAGTGGAGGCGATGACATGCCCTGTAAGAAGATCGCCCTCGTTGGTTTGGCAGGCTGCCTCCTTCGCAGCTGTAGCCTCCTGTCGTCTAGGTTTCTTTCTAAGAGAGCCCTGATGGACGGTAATACTGGTGATGGCAACTGTCAAGGTTTGCGTTCAAATGCAGTAAATAGGGTTGCACATGGCAGATAACACAGTTTCTACGTAATAATGGAATGGCGCAGTGAGCTTTCCCCTTCCCCCTTTTGGTCGCCAGCAAAAAACCTAGACTGCAGCGGCATCCACGGATGATCCTAGACTTTTCAGCCCGCCAGGCGAATTGGCTGAGACGAGCAGTTGAGAGGTGTTAAACGGGCAGGAACCTCGCAACTTTGGGAGCATGAAGCTCCATTCCACGCGAGAAAATTACCCGAACGAATTGCATTGAAGGGCACAATGGGATTTAAGAAGCGTTGCTGCAGGCGTCGAGTTATCAGACGGACGACAGGTCTCCTGTCATGCACCCCATAGTTCCCCTGAGTATGTGTCTCGGGAATAAGGTCTCTGGAGTTCTGAACTACCTCATCCGTAACTCTCCCACGGCTCAAAGGTTCGTTCAGGGAGATATGGGTGAATGTCGGTAGAATGTCAACAAGCCCGAGTCTACTGGCCGGATCGCCAAGGATGCACCGCCTCGAGGGGACACGCAAGACTGGCACACACCCGTGACACCAAAGCTAGCAAGAACGTCGTTCGTCCCTCATTTGCTCTCCTCACCCGCCAGCCATCAATCAAATTCCCTCTTGAGCTTGGGCCACCTTCTAAACCTTTTGCCTTCTGGTTCTTGTTGGTTTGTCGGGAACCTATCAGAAATTGGGATTCCTGCATCTCGGCAAGCAAAGCCAGAGGCTAGCCCAGGATACATCACACCGTACAGCTTAACGTAGCTCTCTCGCGCTCATTGGATTGGGTTGCTTACCTATATTTATTGCCTTAAGGTACCTCAAGGTATGAGTGGCCTGTCCTTTTCTTCCGTTTAAGGACATCCACTCCTCCGCCAACGTCAACTGTTCCTTCCGCGTCCAACGGTCCTTTCTTCCTTCAACTCCCGGCGCAACCTCCGACATCCAACAAAGTCGTCGCTTACCCAGGCCGCGCAGCTCGAGGAAACACTGGCTGGCAGATCTACAGAGCTTTCTCTGTCTCGCTCCTCCAAATTTCGCTACTAGCCCACCTGAGCACGATACGCCGGGGCGGAGGAAGTCTTACCACCATCATCCGACGGAAAAGTCGCCCAAACCCAGCCGCCGCCCGCCACTGCTGCTTCCCGACCTGCAGCTACAGCAACTGAGCGTGCATACGTCTGATCAATCGCCGCAATGTTCTTCTTCTTCGTGTGCGGAGAGCACACCTTCCGTAAGCCTGTCGAGGGCTACGAGGGTATGGTCTGCCAGTGTTACAACTGCGGTAACATGTCTGGCCATGTCATCAAGAGCCACCCTTGGTTCACATTCTGCTGGATTGTGAGTCTTTGTGCACATTCATTCGTGCTCTTTCCGTGTCTTGATGAGCCTTCTTATGTGTACCTCTCATTCAAGCCCTTGTCGAACTCTCATTCCATGTCACTGGCCTACCTTTGTGAGACTAAAGATGGGATATTCAAAGCTAACCTACCAATTCTAGCCCGTTATACCCCTGTCCTTCAAGGGCTACACCGATGTTGTCTGCCACATTTGCAACTTTGCCCAGCCGCTTGAGAATCGCCCCGACGTCACGGCCATGAAGGGCGGAGGTCAAATGCCGCCCCCGCAAGTGCATGGTCAGCCTCCCCAGGGTTGGGGCCAAGCTCCGCCTCAGTACCGATGAGAGCGGTCACCTGACTCTCACCCATTGGAGGTTCTTTCACCAAGTCCAAGTGCGGGCAAGGCGCGGCGACGCGAGGAGAGCGGACTTGGGAAGAAGCGGATTTCGGATATCGTGGAGAGAAGCAGGACGAAGGCCGGAGGAACTGGCGATGATGAACGGACTTGGGGCTTTTTGCTGAGGGAAAGGCCTGTCGCCGGTCTCTCTCTCCTTCCGTCCTTCTCAAGTCTTGCCATCTGCAGGAGTGGATGAGTGCAGACTAGTGGTTGTTTTCTTTTTTCGTGTGTGATTCTGGGCAAGATACCATGCTGGCTAGGCGTTTGGGGAGGGGTCCATCGACACGCGTAAACGACAATTGAATTTTCTGGTGTTTCCACGATGAGGCTTGGGATTTTGCATTTCGCCACGTACCTGGAGGGCTGTGAGCTGCTGAGGATTCCTTTCTGCCAACTCTACGTTCTGGCTTGTCATCATTTCTTCCTGCGAGGAAGTAGGAAGTCCTTTCGCCAAGAGCGCGGCGGTATTGTCAGTGAACGTCCGTGATTTTGGTTCACCTTCTTCTCTTCTTCAGGACTCCCGGGCGGGATTCTTCTGGGCATCCGCGATTTCAGTCTACTCCCGTCATCAGTCTCCCAAGGTCGGGGCTCTCCTGGCCGTGATTCCACTTCATATCGTCCTTCACGTAGTCTTCCGGGGCGGGTTTCTCCCAACCCGTGGTTGCGATCCATCTCCAATATACGCAAGATATCCAAATTTGGCATCTTTCAGGTTTGTAATCTGTTGCTGGAACGAGATCCCTCGCCAAACAACAAGAAAGGACATCCGTACACAAGCCTCTCTTATATCGAACAAAAGAGTCGCTCAAAGTTCGACCGTGCCGCAATGTCTCATTTCGAAAGTTCGTACAGCGCCGTCGTATCGGATCGCTTCTCGAATCGTTACATCAGCCCATATTGCATCATGTCGCATAGACAGCGAGACCAACGGCACACGCGGGGTGGCCGAGGACAGCCTCAGCGTCCGGTGGCCCCCATCTTTCCTGACGGTGTTGCCGAACAGGTGCAGCAAGGTATGCCTCCTTCTCTCCTTCTCTCTTTCTCTGTCTGTTCATGTGGAAATCTTTTTGGGGGCCGGTGAGACGGCTACTCCGGTTCTATGTCTCGTAGGAGGCTCCTGTTACTGCAAAAGTTCCTTAGCTAACATTGGATGACTACCTTCCCCAACCAGGACAAGACTACCATACAGAACCCAATCAAGTTACACATTCTGGCCCCTCTCAACGTGGTCTTGCCGCAGCCGTTCTGTTGGGCAGGTCTTTTACCCCAGCGGAGAACCGGTACCTGTATAATCGCCTGCCTATGCGTCAGCCGCCCACAGCGAGGACCGTGTTGGGTCACTTTAGCGAGCTGCCTGCCCTCTACCGTGGCCTGGCTCATGAAACTCGGTCAAGTCTCGACGAGATGGAGGGGCGGGAACGCGAGAGGGGTGAGAGGCTGGTGGCGCTCGCAGACGCTCTGGCAAGGGGCTATGGGGAGTTGGTTGTCTGTCTACCTATGCAACGTATTGAGGGTATCATTCGGCGGAATAGAGGCGAGAAGAGGGTTAGTAAGTTCTGGGAGAAGGTGTTGGAGGAGGTTGAGGTACGTCTTGCGCTCTCATTCTCCTCGTACCCGTATACCTTTGAGCTGCCTCGGTTGATACACGGGTGAAGTAAGCTGACCCAGTATTCTCTAGACCGAGAACTTACACTACATCGTCTCAAGCTCGTGGGTTGCACTCTTCATCGTCCAATTGTCACAGGCGTCGAGTATATTGACAGAGACCTCACTCGACGAGAACGAGCACATCCTGGTCATTGTCAGCGCGGGACTGGCGCTGTTGTGGGCTGTGGCAGTCGCGTCAGAGGGTTTGGTTCTTACACATGAGCGGAGAAGACAAGATGACCGGTTATTGAATGGGATCATTGCCAGAGAGGCGTAAAGTCATCATGAGATTTCCTATGTGTGTGTAACTTGGACGGATGGATACACGGATCCAGAGGGACTTATGACTTACGATCGTTGTTCAGAGGTATACCTATTGCTATGAAGAGCCAAACTCAGTGAGATTGACTTGAATCATGTTGTTGTTGTGTTGTTTGGTAGTATTTAGCTTTTGGATTTCATCATGGCAAAAATCATTACCCTAAAGCGATCCAACAAAGCAAACCTTTGTTCAAGATCTACTAACTTACTTGGTTTGTGAGCCTGTTGGTCGTATAGAATCAGATACCACCGAGATATATAGAGCCCTTGATCGTCAACGAAGATACGCATTTGGAGAAGACCCGCTAGGCAGACCTACAAATACCCAATGTGTATTCAACTAAACTTCGCGAATAAGCCACCAGCACATCCAGGTTCACGCACATCACCCGCCCTCGACACCTTTATAATAGACAACGAGATGTAATTCTATCATCAGGCCTATGACGTAGCGGGAAATGTCCCCGTTTGAATTGTCCCGCACTCATAGGTCGCGAGTTCGAGTCTCGTGCAAAATCCTTACATCGTTACACCTGAGGCTGGTAAGAGTCTCTGAGGATTTTCGTAGGCCGTCCGTGAGGGCGGCCAAGCTTTTGAATTTTTAGAAATTTCTATTATACTTATTTTGTTTCCATTTCATTTTACTTGCCGAATACTCGGAAGTTGGATCATCGTGAGAACGAGGTCTTGGTGTTGATTGAACGAGCCACAGAGGAGGTATGACGTATCTACATGCACTCAGCCACAAGTGGAACTGTGGCGGTGCAAGCACTCTGAAGTTTCCTGAGCTGCTTCCGTCATGTCGAGACCATGCAGTCAACCACCCAATGAGACTTGGTGTCTTTGACCTCTAGACATCTCTGATCGCAACCTCTGTTCGATGATATCTGCACCCTTTGTGCGATAGAGACATCGATTTCTCTAATCATTCAATTCCAACAACACCCGAGACAATCGCAGGAATGGCGCCCGTAAAACGAGGCCCGTCGGTGCTGGTCCGTCGCAACCCCGTCTCCATAATCAAGTCTACGTGAAATGCTAATGCGAGCCTACTGTAGGTGACCGACTCGCGAGAACGACCTCCACCTCCAAGAGGTTCCCTCCAACGTCAGGATACCGGCATCGGAAACGTCCCCGCTCGACCTGCGATGCGCTTCATCTCCGTCGACAACGTCCTCCAGCACGCCTACGACATCCCCTCCGGCCAGCCTCGAGTACAACCACCGCAGAACCAACCCCAGCCTCAACCCCAGTCTCAACCACAACCTCCGCCACAGCGGCCTGGAAATGGCCTTGCAAGCGCTCGACGCCCCAGCACAGGGCTGCCCAATCTACAGTCTAGGACGGGCGGCCAGAACATGCCGTCGCGCACGACCAAGATCAGCGAGAAGCTCGTGCTGTTGCCCGAAACGGACGAGAAGCCAGGCTCGGACGAGGACCTGGACGAGGAAGCAACCAAGATGGCGAAGGAGATTGAGATGGAAGAGAACAGGCCGCTACGCGACGAGGAGCTTGACGTGCTGCGCAAGAGAGGCGGTATTCGTGGCAAGAGTTACGCGGAGCGTCTCCCCAAGGTCCAGCGCAAGGAAAAGCTGGCTAGGCTGACCGCGTACTGTACAGCGCAATCGTACAAGATGAAATCGACGGCCGACTTTCTACGAACCAAGCATGACGCAAAGACGAAGCTCTACGACGACTGCCTGTACGTCGTGTACTCGTTGCCTCTCCTAAACGGTACAGAGGGCTACCGCCTTCGCAGCCGGCCGATCGTCAAGACCCCCGGAAGCGGCAAGACGGTGCTAGATATGGAGATCGAGCGAAGCGAGCAGCGCGACTATCACGAGGGGTACTTTGAAGATGGATACAATGGCAGCCCCGTCCACGGGAGTCCCATGAACGGCAATAACGGATTCGGTGACGAGTCCTCCCAACGCAATCACCGCGAGCAATCCCCCGACGACCCCAACCTATCCCCGATGGCGCGGATCCCAGATGCAAAGGCCTTTGCCGAGATGTTCCTCTTCTCATACGGCGTCGTCGTCTTTTGGAATTTCACAGAGCATCAGGAGAAGGATATCCTCGCGGACCTGACGTTTGCCCAGAACGAGGCGGGACTTTCTCTGCTCACCCGCCCGCTGGACGAGGAGGACTTTGAGACAGAGGAATTCCACTTTGAGTACAGCCACGACGTGAAGCGGCCTCGCATCTTCAACGACATGATTACCCTGCTGCCGCGCAGCGACCACATGGTGAAGTTAACAATCAGTCACGCCATCGCGCAGAGCACAAAGTTATGTTTGTTTGAGGAGCGCATGAGTGAGACGATGCTGGATGCGCAGCACGTTCCCAAGAGGCTAGCACTCACGGGCGAGCTGAACATGACGAGAACGGAAATTGTCAAGATCCTAGGCCGGTTATTCAAGAGCCGTGTCGACATCAACCTTTGTAAGTCACCCTACGCCCGCCACTACCTCTGTTTCCTGCTTGTGACATACTCGGAAACAATCGTGGTCCTGTAACCACGAAATCTCCCGTCTAACAAACCTCACCAGCATCCAACATCCTCGACGTCCCCAACTTCTTCTGGGACTCGGAACCCACCCTCCACCCCTTGTACGTCGCCATCCGGGAGTACCTCGAAATCGACCCGCGCATCAAGGTCCTCAACGAGCGCTGCCGCGTCTTCCTCGACCTCGCCGAGATCTTGTCCGACTCGGTCGCCGACGCAAAGATGAGCTACATCACCTGGATCATCATCGTCCTTATCGTCATCTCCATTCTTGTCACCGTCACCGAGGTCGGTCTGCGCTTCGGCATCTTGTCCAAGAATAACGGCAAGGGTCCCGGCGAGGTCGGTGGCGATGCCGTGCCCTTGATCGGTGGCGGCGGTTCCTCCTCGTCTATACCCGGGAGCGTCAAGTGGGAGCTCGAGAAGAGGAACGTGAGCGTCGACGAGCTGAGGCTGTGGAGTCGGATGCT